CAGGGGATGCGCGCCGTCTTCCAGGAGGTGGGCTCCCCACCTGTGGGCGCCGGCGCCCGCCGCGCCCCGCGGACTGAGGCCGCTGCGGGCCTCTGAGGGCTGCGCCCGCCTTCCTGTCTTTCAGCTCTGGGAGGAGTCCTACCAGCGCGTGGCCAAGGAGCAGGAGATTTATGAAGGTGCCGGCACTGCTGCTGGCGCCCCTCGGGGCTACGGCCCTAGCGCCCCTCGGCCACCCACTAGCCGGCTGCGGTCGGCTCTTCCCGTGGCGCCCGGCGGGCGGGCAGCTGCCAACTGGCTTGGCACCAGCCTCTGGGGGCGGGATTCAGTAAATAGGACTCCCTCCGACGCTCACGCCCTCTGGAGCCACAGCCAGCTGCCCAAGTGGCGGTTAGAGGCTGTGAGGTCGGGAGTGAGTCGGAAGCGACCAGCCACCCCCCTGGCCTTGACCCCACAGCACAGCTCCATGACCTCCTGCAGCTGAAACAGGAGAATGCTTACCTGACCACCATCACCAAGCAGATCACGCCCTATGTCCGCTCCATCGCTAAGGTGAAGGAGCGGCTGGAGCCCAGGTGAGACTACAGAGCGCCCCCAGGGGAGCAGAACCCCCGGTGGGCATCCGCAGGTCAGGAGGTAAAGGTTTAACCTGGGCGCCCGGTGTGCCAGGTGCCACCACGTGCAATAGCAGTGTGTGGGCTGCTCCAAGCTCCTGACTTTGATGCACACAAGAACTTGGGTGCAGGCCAGAGGTGTGGGGGTTGAAGGACTCACCAGAAACAGTGGGGGGCAGAACAGGCCGACTGACTGAAAGCCACTGCTGAGCGGAGCAGCCGGGAGACAGGGGAGGTCTGCTGCACCCTGGGGTCACTCCCTGGCCAGACACTGAACTCAGGCCACAGTGGCTGGGACAGCTTGATACTGCTGGGACTCAGCACCACCAGGGTAGCCCCCAAGCTTGTTTCTTGGCACACAGTTGCCCACCTCTTGCCCTCAGGGGTAGGTCAAAGCAGAAGACATTTTTGGGGGGGTAAGGCAAGGACCCACAGCCAGTCCAGTTTGCAGGACACAGAGGAGAGAGGATGGTCTCTCCGGCCCCCCAAATTCTGGTGTTCCCCTTCCTGGTGTGACCCTGGAAAGTGTGTCCCTCTGGTGTCCAGATCCCTCTCCAAGAAGCCTTAGCAGGCCTGGGGACGCGCATCGGCGGGGGGTGGGCAGCCCCACTCCGCACCCCTTGGCTGTTGCCCGGTCACACTGGGGGGCTCAGCTCGTCGTCGTCGCTCTGCAGTTTTGGTGAACTCCTGCTGCTCAGGTCTGGGGCAGGGTCCCCTCCCAGGCTGGCCTTCAGAGCACTTCACGCGATACCGTGTGGTTCTTTTTATAGACCTCAGTGCCAGCCAGCACTACTCTGCTCTGCAGCGGGGAGTGATAGCCGAGGGCCTCTGGGAGGGGCGATGTTCTGGGCTGCCCACGCCGGGCACCCGCCTCGCACTTGCCCTCTGAGCTAAGTGGCAGTGAGCTGGGGTCAGGAGCTTGCCCCCCCCCCATGCCGCCGCTGGCTGGCTGGCTGGCCTCCGCCAGGAGATGGCGTTTGTGGGCAGTTTCACCAGTGCAGAGGCCCAGGCCCAGCCCACTCCTAGGATCTGGGGTCTGGGGTCCCAGGGCTCAGGGCTGCCTCCCGCTCCCCCCCGGCCCCCACCCGCTGAACACACTCTAGTTCTGCCACCAGCGACCTTGCAGGGGACACCTGGGCCTGTCACGCTCCCGGATCCGGACTGCCCGGGGCCTGTCCTGCACACCTTCTCCCTACACACCCCCATCCTGGCTTTGAAACCCTACCTCGGTGCAGACGGTCCTCAACACCGTCCACTCTCCCCAGCCCTCCCGCTGCCCCTCCGGCCTCCCGCACCGCCCCCCAGGTGGCCAGCAGAACTTGGTTTTCTCCCCCACGTTTCTCACCTGTCACCTGAGAAAATGGCTCCACAGGGCCTCCCTGGTGGCACAGGGGTTAAAGCACAGCACAGCAGCCGGCAGCACGACTTCGATCCCGGCCAGGGAGCGACTCCCAGGGCGCAGCAGCCCCCTCCTGTCTCCCCGCTGCTCCCCTCAGCAGTGGGCTTCGTCGATCCGCCTGTCCCGCTCCCCGCTCTGTCCCTGGGGCGCCCTCCCACCCTGCCCCTCTGGCCTGCGCCCCAGCTCTTGTGTGCCATGAAAACACCTTGAAAAAGCAAATGGTGCCACAGTCCCTAGGTGTTCAAGTAAACTGGGGGCCATCCGGGTTCCTTCTCTCACCCCCGGCCGCTCCCTGGGCTTGGTTCACAGTCCTGCCCCCATGGCCGCCCCGTGCTGGAGGCCGGCCAGCCAGGCCCTCCCCATCCATCCTCCACAGTGGCCTTGGGGTTCGCTGGAGCAGCTCCGCGCTTCCCCCCACCTCCGGCCCTCTGGAGCGTCCTTGCTTCAGACTGCCCCTGGCACCGGTCCACTCCGCCTCCAGTGGCTCAGCGGCGGCCCTTCCCGAAGCCCTGTGGGTGCAGCCTCGCTGCCTGGCCACCCCGGCCTGCTCGGCCTCCTCCCCCGGCCCTGGCGCCCCCGACCAGGCATCTTGGGCACACCGAGCTCATGCCCGAGCCGGAGCCCCCGTGGGCGCCACGCCCGGCGTGGCTGCAGGGGCCGAGGCAGCCCCGAGGGCCAGGCTCGCTGCCTCACAGGTTTCAGGCCGCCGTGGGGGAGCAGCCGGAGCACCCACCGAGCCTGCATGAGGATGGCGGGAGCGGCGAGGCCCAGGCCAGGTAAGCAGGGGGTCCCAGCGGGGCTAACGGCCAGCTTCTCCCACCCCAGGGTCCCTCCCGGCCAGCCGCCAACAGGGTGGGGGACGGCTGCGGCCGGGGGTCGGAGACGCTTGAGCTGGAGGTGACTTCCAAGTGTCCTCTCAGAGGGCAGGAGCGGCCAGGGACAGGCAGGGACTCATGTGCGCCTGCAAGCCAGGTGACAGGCCCATCTGTTGGTGACAACGGTGTGCTGGAGGCCGCACACCGTCCCTGGCACCGCGGACCTCAGCGTCTGGCGCAGCACAGCACCTTCCTCATGGCGCTGGGCCTGGGGGCCGGGGATCTGCACTGTAGGGTCCTGGAGTGGGCTCGCGCCATCCCTTCCTGCAAGGCAGCTTTAGGGGGCCGTCAGTGCTAAGCTGGTGGCCCCCAGCCGAGCTGGGGCCGCGGCAGCAACCAGAAACCCTCGCGTGAGCTGAGCCCTCAGGACAGACGTGCTGTGCTGCCCGGCACGGTCACCTGCGGGCCCTTCCAGACGCGGCTCCCCAGGCCCGGCCCAGGGTCTCGGTGCCGGACACCGCAGCCTGGTGAGGGCAGGGCGGCTTCCCTCAGGAGCGAGGCTGGCGGGGCCGCGGACAGGAGGCGACATCAGAGCCTCGAAGAGCCAGCTGGGCGCCGGGAGCTCACGGAGGAGCCGCTGGTGAAAAGCAAAGGTCATCACAGACCCAAGCAGAAAAATGGGGGTGACGGCCCCACCCGCAGAGAGCACCCGACCTAGCAAACAGGTGCGACGTGCAGACCCGCACCAGGCTGTTGCAAAGGCGGCTCCCATCTTGGTAAATTCTGGGGGTGATCATTTATCAATAAAGCCCCGGAACGCTCTGCCAATTTTGATGATGTGGGGTGCTTCCCAGCCCTGTGGGGCGCCCCCGAGTGAGCATCCGGCTCACCTAGGTGCAACGCCAGAAGAGACTGCCAGCGTGGACGCTGCCTCGCCAGGACCCCGGCCCCAGCCCCCCCAGCGACCCGAGCACTGCTCGGCCGAGGGGGGCCCTGGGCTCGCCCCTCCACCAGCACAGCAGAAGCAGCCTGTCCCCGCGTGGCTCCCACCCTGCACAGCACCCTCTCCTGAAGGATGGGCATCAGTGGGCAGGCGGTAATGGGTCCACACGGGCTAGGATCCCTCGCAGGGGGCCGGGGGGCGCCCAGCAGTCGGGCGGGGCCCAGGGGCTGCTGCTGGGCTGGGGGGGCAGGCCGTGCCCCAGCGCACAGCCCGGCGTCGCAGGACTGAGGGGCGGGGGGGGGGTGTTCTCAACCCAGCCTGGGGCAACGAATTCAGAGTCCGGTGTCCGCTGTGGGCTCTGGGCGCTTCCTGGCCAGAAGCAGCGTGAGCTGGAGCTTCTACATCCCACAACACACTGCTGTTCATAGTGAAATCAAGTACATTTTATTTAAGAATTGGAAAGAATAATCAGTATCTGTGAAAGAAAACCCAATTTAAAATAGTTAAATAGACATTTTTGCGTGTAAAAAGAAGAGCAGAATAACCACCCCGCGGTCGCCCCAGCTCCGGCGGCTTCTGCAAGCGAGCGTGTGGCGCTGCCGCGGCAGGGCTCCGAGCAGACGCGCCGCTGCCGAAGGCGGGGTCGGGGGGCGCGGCCTGCCGCCCTGGGGGACGGCCACCCAAGGGGCGGCCAGGACCCTGCGGGCCCCGTCCGTGAGGCGACCCGACGCCCTGGCTCGGGCCCCTGGCGGACCCCCGAGTGTGAGACGGGAGGGCTGGGACAGTGCGCGTGCAGTCCACTCCAGGAGGACGCGGGCTGCGCCTTCCGCCTGGCCAGGCCCCGGCCGCTCAGTGCCCGCAAACCTGCCCAGCACGTTTCGCGCGACGCGGCCTGAGGGCCCTGCCCCTGCTCGCCCCTCCCAGTCAGACTCCGCCACCTCACAGCCGGCGACGGACAGCGACCTCCTGGCAGTTTGGTCTGAGGGAGCCGGCAGCAGGGCCTTTACCCAAAAACCTTCACGGAACCCCCAAAAGCCTGTACCTCATTAACCTGATTCTCCACCGTGTACCTGGTCACTGCTAAATTTACCGAGTTAAAAATAATCTGAGGGCATCCCTGGGGGCGCAGCGGGTAACAGCGCAGCACTGAGAAGCTGAAGCTTCAGCGCGAGTTCGATCCCTGCCCGGAGGTGGCCACAGGGCGCGGCAGCCCTCTCCTGACCCGCCCGCGGCTCCCCTCAGCAGACTTCCTCCATCTGCCTGTTCTGCTCCCCGCTCTGTCTCTGGTGAGGCCTCTCACCGCCCCTGCACCTCTGGCCTGCACCCCAGTTCTCTGTGCACAAATAAATAAATCTTTTTTTAAAAAATCCAAAGTGCCTGTGCGAGCAGGACACCCTGGCTGGCCGGCACCACCCCGACTGCGCTGCCCACCGCGGACATGGCGGGAGTGTTCTCTTTCTGCCGTAAAAGCAAGAACAGGGCCGCCAGCCCCAGTGGGGGAGCAGCCTGGCCCCCAGCCCAAGGCAGGACGCCCCGCTCCAGGCCTAGCCCGGCCGCCCTCGCGGCCTCCGACAGGGGACAGACCACGCCAGGCCCCTCCATCCACACAGCTCCTGCAGCCTGTGCCACGCCTGGCCCCGGCCGACTGCCACCAGCCCCCCGCCCCGCCCCGCCAGCCTGAGGGTAGGGCTGAGTCTCTGAGGAGGCCTGCAGGACGCTCGCCCCGCGCCGCCCCTCGGCAATGAACCCGTAAACCTCTTTGGTATATGACAAGGAGAAGGACGAGCAGGCCGCGGCCTCTAGGAACAGGCGGCGCCAATGTGCTGGCAAAGTGCTCTTCAGAGTGGACGCACGCCGCGGCCTCTGCTCGGGGAGGCGGACGTCTGTCCACTGCTGCGCGACTCGCGCCGCACAGACTCATTCGTGTCGTCTCTCGGGAAGTATCAAAAGTGTCCGACATTGTCCTGCGTCTTCGCGACACCCGTGAGGTAGGTGGCATTGCCCCATTCTGCGGATGGGGGCGCATAGGCACGGAAAGGTGGGCGGCTCCTCCGAAGCCAGGCGGGCGAGGGCGCCGGGCCGGGGTCCCCCTCGCGGAAGGCCTTCTCGCCAGCGGCTTCC